GCCAGTTACATACACCCATTTTATTTATTTTATTTTAATTTACATTTACAATAATTATTTATACAACATTTACAATTGTTATTAACACAGCAGGCATCCCTAATAATACTTGTGCTAGAATGTATAATTTATAGCCCGTGCTCAAATATTTTTTTGCAAAAACTAATTTTATAGATTTTTTCACGAAACAAAATATATTTTTTTAAATTTTTGCAATAAGAAATTAAGGAAAAAACCGAAAATAACCTAAAAAACCGTTTTAAATTTAAAGGTTACGGTTCCGGTCCACAAATAAATACCGGTTCCGGTCCGGTTTTCTGTCCAAAAACGGTCCGGTCCTGTCTCTGATCATAATATATTCGGGTAAAATAAAACGTAGTACCAATTAATAGTGTATTAATTATACAACAAATAACATATAAACGTGCGGAGCAATCATATGTTACAGTATTTCCAACGAACTTTCGTTTTAAAATTAGTAATAATAATTATTATTATTATAATTAATATTATCGGAACTGATCCCAGGATTAGTTACCTTGGTCCCGAACAGGGTTGCCAGATTTTGCAAATGAAAAAGCGGGACACCCAAATCTCTGTTAAAAAAATGTTTTAGTTTCGAAAATTTCAAAATTGCCTCGAAAAAAAATTCAAAACATATATAATTTTTTAATTATAAAATTATAAAAAAATATAAATATAAATAATATATATAATCTAAATATTTAAATGTATTTTTCACATGATGGAACTTTTTCAAGAATTTCTTTTCCATTGCTTTTTAAAAAATTAACAAATTCTTTACATGTACTTTTATTATTAGTTTTGATCATCAATTCCAGTTCTAATTAGAAAAAAAATGGGTTAAGCTTAAACACATTAATGTGTTTAAGCTTAACCCATTTTTTTTCAAACTAAAAATTGTTTCGGTATAAAAAAATTAATTGAAGTTGGATGCTCTTTTAAAGAAAGAGTCCACATTACATCGACATCTTCCGTGTTGTTCAAAATTTTAACAAAAGTAGGTAGTTGGACAAACTCCTCAAATAAAATGTCTTCATCAACAGAAATTTTAAATTGTGAAGCAACTTCAAAGTAGGTAATTATTTAAATTACTAAACACTAAACAATATCATGGGACTGTTCAGAATCAGATTAGTAGAATTTTAATAATTTAGTTTTTATCAAAATATTTAAGCATCAACGGAAAGGTTTTTATGTTGCCTTTATTTGAAGCGAAATTGGATGGTGTTTAGAAAGATCTTCTAAAATATTTTTTTTGCTATGGGGTCCCAAAACATTTGTGAGTTTTGTTCTGCCACAAATAAAGCTACACTCAGCAATTACCTTTTTTGCGTCATCTCCCGTTCGATTAAACATTTTTTAAAGTGCATTTGTGTTTGCTAAATTTTAAATGTTCTTTTTGTGTTTTACACTTTTCATGTGCTTTTGAATATCATTTTCGCCCCATTACCCAGTGAAAATTAATGCTTGATTGCGATTGGACCCGATGCACACAATAACAAGTGATAAAATTGCCTTAAAATATGCTGATCTTTAATTAAGTTTTTTTAGACGTATACGTCTAAAAAAACTATAGATCGTAATTTTCCTGTATTTAGTAAAAATTTTAAATTATTCCCTTTTTTCGTTCGCAATTTTGAAAGATATTTAAAAATCGGGATTTTCGACGTGCAAATTGGAAGGCGGGACAAATCGGGACACATCGATAAAAATCGGGACAGTCCCGCCTAAATCGGGACGTCTGGCAACCCTGATCCCAGGATTAGTTACCTTGGTCCCGATTCAGGACTCCCGAAAGTTCCGGGATTGAAAAAATGGCTCGGGATTAATACCTCTACTCGGGGCATCCTGTACAGCATACACTGAGAGGAACAAATAATATTTGTTTAAAGTTAACAAATACCTATATTTAATTGATTTTGAATTAAATAAATAAATTACTATTTTTTAGTGTAGGCGGCGATTTGGTTCAGCCTAGGCTTTATGCGGCAGATTTTTGTCTAGACTCCAGAGCCTACATAAATAAATTATGTATACTACGTAAATTATGTGTACAACGTACGTTTGATCTTTTAATTACTAATTGTTAAAAATAACCTTCGGTGAGATAACCAGAGCTAAGCTACTCGGGTTGTGTTGCATGAATAAAAGGGTGACCTGACACCTTTTATGCATGACGGTCCCCAACGAAAAGTAGGGGATAGTCGATAAACTGTCAAGCAGTGATAGAAAAGAGCTGTTGCTAAATGGTTCCAATTGTTAGCAATTTTCATGAAACTATATACATATATATATATATATATATATATATATATATTTAATATTTTGAATTACCTATTATCAATATTTTCTTAAGGATATAATATTTTTAATTTTTAGTACATAACAAGGAGTTTATCGTTATTAATTTAGCCTTTATGATACAAAAAATATTTAGAAAAATTAGAACTTACTCAAGTGAATAAAAACTTATGGCATTTAAATTTAAATCATGCATTTCATTTATAGACAAAAGGAAAAATAAATTAAAAATGAGTGTTTTAACTTATTTATTATCTCTAAAGCTACACATGTAAAGAAGTCTTCCAAAGCTTCAGCACTGAGTTGAAGTATTTTTTTCTTAAATTGTGGTCTGAACTAACCAAAATGCCGTGAAAACGGCTTTATTAGTAGCTAAGCAAAAATATTGCCTAGCGTGATGGGTTCTAAAGAATTTATTATCTTTGTTCCTACACTATTGAGCTTCCTCTGAGAGTAAGCCTATAGGATGAGCAAAGCATTAAATAATTTCTGCTTGGTGAAAGAGAATTTTGTAGACTGTTGCGGAAATATAACAAAAAGGGTATTTTGTTGTGGCCAGAACAGCAGTCTTAAGCCGGGTCTACAATTGTCGCAGGTCGCAGATCGCAGTACATAAGCCTGCGCAAAGCACCCAGCCACGTTGCGATGGAGCAAGGTCACATGTCGCAGAAAGTTAATTCAACTTCAATAACGTCTTTCTCAGGATCTTATGTTAGCCAATCATAGAGCGCTAGGATCTATCTGTCTCTCTGCTCTCTTTCTTTCAATAATCAAAATTTTTATTTAGTTCCTTTTCCTATTTCGCGTTATTTTTAAATTTTTCGGTGTCATTCTCAGAAAATATTCGAAAAAAGTAATTGTCCAAAATTAAAATAAATTCCAATAGTTCCTAAAGACCATTTAAATAAATGTATGTATGTATATTCTTATTATTATTGTATATTCATGCATATATTGATTTAAATAGGTAGTTTTTAGGAAATATCGAAAATCTTTCGGAATTTTCAAATTTTGATCAAAATTGTCGACAATTACGTTTTTTTTAGGATTTAGGATTTAAAAAATCGTACCACTTTAATTTGAATTACTTATCCTAATTTGGGGGGGGCAGGAGGCTGGTGGGGCACACTTAAAAACTAACTTTTTTTTGCAAACTTTAATTTAAATTCTGCTTGCACAGAACTTGTCTATATAATGTCATTATAAACTCATATAAATTTGATGTGGGTCCCATGTCTAATAACTGGGATATGGGTGTGCCCAAAATCCACCAGCCGCCACTGGGTTTTTAAACACTTTTTACCGGTCTGTCGTGCCGAACTAGCTAGGATGGTGCAAAAACTAGTAATATATTATTATGGGCATAATCTAGAGGCAGTAACGGGAAATGATGAAAAGGGCCATTAAGGCACATAGATTGAGCCTACTTGTCAGGACGCATAGTTGTAAGTAGAGGTAGCGATAGTGGTCAAAAGTAGACTATCGATAGTATCGATAGTGAGAAAAGCGACTATCGAACTATCGATAGTTAACTAAAATTTAAAAACCGTATAGTTTAACATTTTATTAAAATTAAAAAAAAATAATAATAGTAATAATAAAAATAAAAAATTTATTTTTATAGTAGGCATATTTTCAACCCACCAAATACAGGAGAGTCAAAAATATAGCATAGTATTTCAATACAAATAGGTATCTACCTTAGTTATTAAAACCTTTATATCAAAATCTATAATAGCAATCGAGTTTCAAAACATCAACAATAAAATAATTGACATCACATATTTTGACAGTTTACTTGATTCTGTTTTTTTTCTCAGGATTACCACCGTTGGTAAATCTAGGGTCCCTAGATTTGCCAACTAAAACCCCAAACTTTTAACGTCGTCAAATTCCAAATAAAAACCAACCATAGTTATAATAATTTCTTTGATACAACTATCGCTAGACGATATTCTGTCACTATCGATAGAATCGATAATTCGATAATTTTTAAAATATCGAAACTATCGATAATATCGCTACCTCTAGTTGTAAGATCGAAGCAATGCAATGGCCCTTACTACTACATGTTACCATAAATAATTCTTGATGATTAAGATTAAACTAAAACATACAAGGATTTTGTTTCGATTTTAAAATATTAGTTACCTACTCAAAAAAGTTCTCGGCAATTTTTTTTTATTGGCATGCTTTTGGCCATATTCGTTTATAATTGAGTGCAAATAAATTTTAAAATTAACATTTCATAGATTGTAAAAATATAGTAACTTTGAAGTTAAATAGAAAAAAATTCCTAACTACATTCTAAAATTCTAATTTAAAAAGGGATTAATCACTACAAAAACTGATGGATAAATGGATTTACCCAAAAATTAACAAAATGGTACCGTTCGAAATGAACCATATTTTGTTTAATAGAGTTTATTTGAAATAAAAATATATATTTTTTAATTATCCTTAAAAATTCTGCAAGAAAAAGTTCCGCATCGCAATCTCTAATAACAAATATTTCTGCATAAAAAAGTTTGGCATTATTCTCGAGTAAAATAGGTCCCCCAATATAAATCTATTTATTTATTAGCTGTAATTTAAATAATTGGTTCCGACAGTCGCATAATATAATATTACGGGGCTTAAGTATATAGGTACAATAAAATTTGAATCTCGTCTTGTCGGCATCTAGAGTGTATGTTTATAAAATATTTGGTAAATAGTGCATTTTATGACGTTTAAAATTGTTTATAACAATCACAAATAAAGTATTAAAATTATTCCACGTGCTAATTATATCTAATCTAATATAATCTTAATTCATCATATTTTAATTTACGAATTTAGGAAAAATATAATTTTATAAGTGTTAGAACCTTTATAACTATAATAATGTCTAAAACAATGAAGAATTCCTTTATAGCAAATATTCCGCCAAAAATTAAAGTGTATAAAAGTCGATGGTATATTTTGCTTTTGTATATATTATACACAACTATAGGGCAATTCCAATGGGTCGAGTACACAATCATCGCAAATATTGTAATGAGATATTACAATGTTGGCCCCTCCACTGTGGATTGGACCGCATTGGTTTTTATGGTGGTTTATCCGATTTTTATTATTCCCGCTTTACTTATCATTGATAAATTGGTAAGTAAAAATGTATCATAAATATATTATTTCTAATTACATAATAACAAAGTTAATTTATTTAGGGGCTAAGAGTGGCAAGTATAATAGGATGTTTGGGAACCGCAATTGGAGTTTATATAAAATTATTTTCCGTTGGACACAATTTGTTCTATTTGGTTATTATTGGACAAGTTTTTGTTGGAATAGCCCAACTAATAATCTTACCTCTTCCGCCAAAATTAGCAGTAACGTGGTTTGCAGAAAAAGAGGTAAATACATAAGAGATAAAACATAGGTATTGCAACGATTGTAAAGTTTGCTGCCCGAGCGAAGCGAGGGATGCACACACACACGTGTTGCGATCGCTGTGCTAAATCTCGAGTAATGCATATTTTTTTCACAGCAACTAAAAGTTCAATTTGAGCGCTTTCTGCGTTAAGCGCATGCATAAAGAATAAAATATTCAATTCAATCAGATATCTGTCAAATAAAAAAAATTGACATTTGTTGTTAATATTGTTAGGTGAAGTGCGAGTTTCAAACCCTATTTTTCATTATACGCTAAAGAAGTATCGCTAGTAGCGCCACCACTCGGCTGTTATCATCGTAACAAAAGTACGACTTTTAATAATCAGCTGTCAAACGCTTAAGTTACAAACGAGTGTTTTTGAGAATAAAGCCGTAAAATGTTAAAAAATATCGGAAAGAAAACCGTGGCTCGATTTGTTGTGTTGTTAGGTGTATTTCGAGAGGAAATCCTTGGTTGAGTTTTTACCGGTTTTCCAATAAACAGTGTTACCTAATCTAAATGAAGAAATAAATTGCATACAGTCTCTGTAAATATAAATTGTACCTACTAGATACAATAAATACACATTTTAGTAGTGATTAACGTGAAAAGTGTAAAAATTTCAATTCAGTAAAAATCGTCAAACAAATAAGTCGTCTTAATTTAAACAGCATTTAGCATTATTAAAAGAGTTGATTAAGAAAGTCTCCACCCAATGGTAAAATACGTATGTATTATATATAATATTATTTATGTATTATATATAATATTATGTTGCCATGAATTCGTAGGTATATTTTGTTGTTTAAAATGCAGTTGTCGGCGTTTTTTAGAGAACTCAAATGGTGGATTTTAAGGTTATGTTTGTGCAAAAATTATTTTTTACCAATTTCTTAAAAATGTTCAAACTTAAATATAAATTATATTAGGTAAAGTTATCATTAGTTAATTCTGCACCAAAAAATGTACTTACCGAAATGGATCCTTTGGCAAAATATGAAAATGCAACGATTTAGTTCTTGAATTTTATTACAATTTACAATAATTCACCATGATCCCTTAGATAAAATGCACACTCTAACGCATTAAAGCATTGAAGCGTTGAGTTTCTTAATCAATGATATAAGGATCCCTACCAACCATGTCGACATGGAAAACGACATGAATGTCGACACCCGACATCGGTCACTTTTCGTCACTGCATTTGAGTCGTCAACGACATCGACTAATGACATAAATGTCGACATGTCGTTGACGACACGACTGTCGACATCGACATCGGTCACTTTTCGTCACGACATCTTTGTCGCTGACGACATCGACAAACGGTATGAATTTCGACATAACGTTGACAACACTACTGTCGACGTCGACGGTCGACGGTTAAGTCGACGTATTAACGGCATCGACCATTGTCGTCAAAAGCCGACAGTCATGTCGCCATGTTGACGGTATAGAAAATCGTGTCGTTTGTCGATTGGAATGTTGACGTGTAGTTGATGCAATGACTCAAGGACCATAATACGTCGAGCCTAGACATTCATTGTTATCTTAATGAACCTGCAAAACAAACAAAACCAATTTACAATAGAAAATATATATATTTATAAGATGAGACATAGTTTTCTGGAAATGAGAACAATTGTTATTTTATTACGAGTTTTAAATCAATTTTTCGAAACTTGACTCGGCGTTTCTTCATCCTTTCTTTCTTTACAGATTTTTTTGTTTTTACTCGCAGAGTCGCTGTTTTCAATCTCACTCTCACTGCCCTCATTTTATGTACTACAATCATTGTCTGTACCCGACGCACTCTGACTTGTTTCATTGTCACTTTCGCTTCCGTTGTTTTTTTCGCTGTCTTCTTCTTCGTCTTCGCTGATTTGTTCCACTGCATCTTTGTTACTCCCGTCGACGCTTTCTGTGACTTCTTGAATCTCTTGCATCTTTTCTTGTATCTCAAGCTTGTTCTCTTTCTTCTCTCGAGCACCTTGTCCATTTTTGTGTTTTTTTTCTCTTCCTTTATTATTTTCTTGTAGTCTTTTTTAGCTTCTTTGTAGACAGTATTTTTTCTCCTCTTCGTCGAATCCTTCAACATCCTCAATTTTGCTCCGACAAATTGTTCCACATCTTTGCTCATTGGGAACCGTTTAGCGACTGCATCTGAAACAGAAATCGTGAAAAATAAGATCATGAACTTCCTTTCCTTCACTGAAAAACCTTGCTTTAGATTTATTTATTGTCCTATATTGTTGACGTAATGACTTCAAGAAACATGTTTTTCAAAGTTTGAAAAAATCCAATCATAGCTTTTTTCTGACTTTCCGAAACGAAAAAAAATTTTTACATAGTTCTGGCGATAAGAAAATTAATTTGAATATAACTTTAAAATCTTCGTTGTAAGATTTTTGATTCCTAATCAAGTAAATTGTTACCCTGCTTAAAATACCCCATAGAGACCTATACAAAATAATCTATCGGGCGCTACCGGATTCTATATGTGCATTTGTCCATGGGTTTTTCCGGATACAGCCCGATAGAAAATGTATAGGAAATTACCTATAGGCACACCATAACTTTTACATTTTCCCTATTGAGACCGATAGAAAATAACTCAATGAAGGATATATAGGGATATCCCTATAGAGCAACCATAAAACATTTGACAAAATTTTATTAAAACCTATAGGGTCCTATAGGGAAAAAACTAATTTCTACATTTATGTGTATTTTCCCCATTGAAACCGATAGCAAATAAATCAATGGTGGATATCCCTATAGAACAACCATAAATCTCAACTACGGGTCCTATACAAACCGATACACCCTATAGAAACACCATACATCCCGATACAAATATCTATCGGTTTGAACAGAGTCTCTATGGGGTATTTTAAGCAGGGTATTGCGACAGTCGACGTGAGTGACGACATGTCGACGTGAATGACGACATGTTGTCGCCGCGTCACAAAATGTAGAATGCTTAAATTGTAATAGATAAAGACCCTATGGCGAACGATTTACATGCAGCATTAATTTTAATAAATACAAAGGATAGGTTATGAAAAAATACGATTGAATCTTGGATAGAGAGGTATTTGAGGTTATCTAAATTTTCGTACTTACAAAGAAATCACTGGAACGGCTTACGCGCACGATTTATTTCACTGTATTGACTGGATTTATAGCGAGATTCAGCTGGATTTCGCAGCAACAATGGCACTGAATTTCACACAGCTCAGATATGCAAGCTCATGGCCAACATGGCGAAACAGCTGACTGCAGTTGACACACTCACACACAACGTAAACTATATGCGCATGCGCACGTACTCAGTCTGTGCGGACGGCGTGCTAGACGCTGGACGCTGTCGACACGACAGTAGACATGTCGACATGACGACATTATTATCGTCATTACGTGTTTTCAAATATATATTTTCATATTACACAAACGTTAATTAAACATAATTAGGACTTTGACACAATAGTGTCTATATATAGATTAATCTATCAATTGATGCAGTTCATAATGTGTCGTCACGACAGTCGACGTGAATGACGATGTGTCGACATGTAGTCGTTGCGTGTCGTCGAAGTGACTGTACAAACTATGAGCTTCTAGAGGGTTCACAATTTTGATATCCACTAAATTTGATGAATTAATGTGAGTGCAACGTTTTTCTAGTGTCGACTCTATTGTCGATACTTTTGTCGACCACGCTATGTAAAGTCGACAGCAGACGTAGATGTTGACGAGTCGACATGACGACATCATTATCGGCACACAATTTTTTTGTTATTTGTGTATTAAGATGCTTAGTATTCAATTATTCGATATATTCTATCGTTGGATCTCAGATAAAGCTGTAAAAAGACACGCTTTCAGTGAAAATATACTAGATGGGATGTCGTAACTACTGACGACATACATGTCGACTTTGAAATGGTCGTTGGAACTGTGGTAGTCACGACAGTCGACGTAAGTGACGACATGTCGTAGTCGCGTGTCGCCAAGGTCAGAATGTGAAATTATCGGCTAGTTCATGATAAAAAAAATTTAAAATTGTTAATTTACTGCACATTAGAGTATGCTTGATGTTTTCTGAAGTAGTTTTTTTTTAAATTTAATCCATTTAGGTGTCGACACGTTTGTCGACATATTTGTCGATGTCGACATGGTATTCGAATAATCAATCGAAATCGAGTACTAAATAACGGGCGCGATTTAGCTGTGCAATTGAACAAAATTTGTCGAGTAAGTTTGCCTTCCTCTTTTGTGAAAAAACTACCTATTTATTTAAAAATGATGTATAATCTGTGCTTTAAATGTATTGTTGACAATTCTTAAATTCACGCAATGCTATCGAAGTACACCAGATGGCGCGCGCGTTGCGAAAACCCAATACTTCTTTGTTAATGCCTAAATAATAAGATTTAAATATTGATGCATTTCAATTTATAATTATACCCACTAGTGAAGTTGGTGGTTGGAGGTGGTTAACCACCTCCTTATAATTATAAAGTGCATGACAACAGACATTTTTATGATTTTTACTTGAATAAAAAGGTGCATATAAAATTTAAATAATAATAATAATCATTTATTAATCCAACGGACAAAACGTCCATACAAAGGATGTAACTAATTAAAGCTAAATAAATACAGCCTAAAAAGGTACATTTTAAGGTAAGGCTCTTATTATTCTAATAAATTGATTTAAAGTTAGGTTGAAAATATCACAATTCTCTTCAATTAGATTGTAACTCCGACACATTGAAATTAGAGGGGAATTCCTTCTTTCATTATTATTCGCAGCTTCCACATGAAAAGTTTGGCAATATCTAGAATTTAGTCTTGGGACATGAAATTTTATTTTTAAGAGAATATCGGGGTCAAAAATAGTACCATGGACAATTTTATATAGATAAATTAAGCGTGCATTTCTTCTACGTATTTCCAAACTTTCCATGCCAAAGG